GGAGGGAGGGAGGGAGGAAGGGAGGGAATCTCAGTTCCCAAGGATAAGCTTTTCTGTTTCTAACCTTGATTTAATTCATACATTCTTTCAAGCTTTTCTTGTCCACCTAGAACTGCTCTGGGCCTGTCTCCTCTGTGTCTCAGCCTCAAGCACACCATGTTGTGTCCCTTCTATACTACACAGTATTCCTTCACTTTATATCAGCTTCATTGCGAGTTCTCAGGATAATCTTTCTTTTTCTAGCTTTGCTCTCATGCACCATGCATAATAGTCAGTAACTCTGAGAGTTAAATAATAAATATTGCATAGATGCTGACTTGAAATCCACGCCACCAGGTAAAGTAAAACAGCTAACACTGTCCTCATGACAATCCTGGGACTGGTAAAACTATAGGGGGTGTTGCAAGGACAATCACTTCTACCTGCGGCAGCTGCTTTCACCTTCAGGTTGACACAGTTTCTCAGTATGCTTTGCAACCCCTCTGTGCAGATATGCACAATTAAGAACATACTGACCAGGCATCTGTGGCTTACACCTGTAATCCTAGATACTCAGGAGGACAAGATTCAAGAATCAAAAAATACCATGAAACACGGATCTCCAATTAACTACCAAAAAAATCCAGAAGGGTAGCTGTGGCTCAAGTGGTAAAGTACTAGCCACAAGCAAAAAAGTTCACACAAATAAAGAACATATGCATTACCATCTACATAAATAGAGCTGGTACTTGACCCCTTAGGAAAATAACACGTTAATAGTGCTCTTGTTGGAAACATTAGGTATTGTCTGAGACATTAATGATTGTTGAACCTGTTTTCTCATCTCCCAAAGTCGGGCTGAAGATGAATTTTTGTTTTGCTCCTGGATGCTGGTTCTCATCCTCCTCTCTTGAGCTAAGGTGAATTTTCTTACCCGGACACTGCTTCCCCACTTTTTCTTGTTCTCCTAGTAACCCCAAACTCATCCTCCTCAACCCCAGTGTCATTCATGAAGCCCCTCACATCAAACCTTTAAAGGGTTCTTGATTTGTGTATGTTCATGGGGGTGAAGGATAGTAGGGTGAAGAAGGGTCTCAGAGAACCCCTAGATTCTACAACTGTGCTTCTCCAAGCAGAAGGTATCCATACTGATGGGGTGGGGTGATGTTAAACTAGATACTAGGGCTTACCCCCAGAGGCTTAGATCTAGTGAATCTAAGGCATAAGCTAAATGTGTATGTTGAACAAATTGGTAGTGGAGTTTCAGGTGTTAACATGGACCACACTGAGAAGATCTGATCCACAGCAACTGTTAACTGGCCCGTGGAGCCTCTGACCAACCAGAGGAGCTGGCTTCCATCTGCTCACACACTCAGCTTCCACTTAAAGGAACATGTCATCATAAGGGTTAGACCACCAACTCTCTACAAACAAAACTGCAGCATGGAGAGCCAGGCTACTGAAGTTTAGGGACCAAAGTTGTGTCTTGCTGTTGGGAGGGGTCCCAACTTATAGACTAGCCTTGGAGTCTCCTGTTACAACTCTACCTTTCAACTTCCTTCCCATCAACACAACACATCCTTTGGGTCTGCTTCAACTGGTCACTTTACTCTTCCCCAAGTACACTGGAATCACGTATCTTTGTCTCTCCTGCCCTATCCTCTTAAATAATTATACTATACTGTAATTATATCCCCAGTACTTTGTCCAAACTTCTGGACACCAATCTTTCTCAGCTTCAGCAATTTATCATACAGATGACACTCCTGAAAACCTAACTGCTCTCAGAACTTTGCCTCCTCCAAGATTCTGACCTCCAAACTATACACTGGGTTAACCAAAAACCCTTAGGCTTGGGATTCCCTAACCATCTGATGCGAGCTGCATCTTCCTACGCAGTTGGGGCAGTCCATCCTCAAGCTACACTCTCTGCCCTGCCAGACTCCTCCCCACGGCTCTGACCTCCACAGTGCCAGGCTCACCCATCTCTGCCACAGAATGAATCTGAAAATGTTGTCTTTATTCCTAGTGCTCTAAGCACAGTTAGGGTCATATTACCATGTGGACTGCATATTCTAATATCCAGTGAGCTCTTCCAGCCTAAAGCAACTTACTTATGCACTCTTGGCTCTTTTTCAAGTTTTTCAAAGCTAGTCTTCAAAATCCCCATCATCTCAATCCTCCAAATCTACTTCAATACCTCCTTTCAGGGGTGAAATACAAAATCAGGATGAGATCTGATTGAGTTTTGTTCTAGAAATATTACCCTGGTGGTTGGTTGTGTGGAGGAGGAACTACAATAGGAATGTAGAAAGATAAACAGGAGATTCAATAATTATCCAAAGGGAATGCGGAAGAATAAAGAATCAAACTATCAAGAATGATTAAGCACTGTGCTTTGAGCCTAACAGACACAAATAGACATGAACTGACCTTACTATGGCTCTGATGCTGAAAAAGATGTGTCTATAGAAAAGTACTTAGGAAACTTAATAAAAATGCATAGTTTGAGAGCAAGACTACTTTTGTGATGTCATGTCATAAGGCTAATTAAACCTATTATGCAATGGACAGATGGTAGAACTAGATATAAAATGAAATTAACAATGATGAAATCCAGATGGAAATGAGGGAAAGGTCAGTGTGGTAAAGGTCAAAGGAGTCTGGCTTTGTCTTGTCTCATTTTATGAAAGACTGAGGTCATAGCTTAGGGGCCACTACTGCCGGGCAGATGCCAGGCCCAGTTACTCACCCAAGGTTGTTCAAAGCTATAGGTCCGTCTCCGATCTTCCATATCTTCATCCTGCTTGGCTTGCTGAAACTCCTGCCGCAGACGCTGTATCCGATCATGGTTGCTAGGAGTTGATCTGTTGCTAAAAAGAGAAAAGGGGAAACAATGAACTCCAGAAATAAAATTTGTGAACTGCAGTTGTTGGGGGGAAATGGCAGCTTGCTGTAAGATAATGTTATTTAAGAGGAAGTGAACTTTTAAAACAATTATTATCAGCATTGAAAATATGTTGATTTAGGATATATGCTTACTGAACAGATACATAAGAGGGTAAATGCTATGTTTCGATATATATTTTTAAATCCTGTTGTGTAGATGTCTCTTTTTCATTTTATGGTCTGATAAGATACTGGCAGTGACATTGTGAGGGAAGAACGTGCCATAAGACACCAGCAAAGCCAGACTGTGGTCCCGGCTCTTTCTTTTTTGTAGAGACAATAATCTTGTTCTAAACACACATTGTAATCACCGAATGAGATGACACCACAAAATACAGCCTCACAAGCTGGGTGTGTTGGCATATGCCTGTGGTCCCAGCTACTCAGGAAACTGAGGCACAAGGATCACAAATTCAAGGCTGGCCTGAACAACTTAACAAAATTCCATCTCAAAATTTTAAAGTAAATAAATAAGAGGATTTTTTTTTAAAAAAAGAAGATTGAGGATATTTGCTCAGTGGTATAGCATTTCCTTAACATGCATAAGACCCAAATTTAATCCCTATTGTTGCAAAAAATAAATAAGAAGGAAAAATACCAATAATCTCACAAATGTGCAGCACTACTGCACAACACCATTAGTGCAACTGTCGTGGTGTAAATAAAAAACATTAAAAAAATTTAGTTCAGGTGGCAGTTTAACCATTTAGTTAGTAATGGTGTGGTTTTCTTTTTGTATGCAACTGAATTTTGTTTTATATTCACAAAGAGTTCGTAAGACTGGTGCATGAAGTAGTAGCCCGCATACACACACACACACACATACACACACACACACACACAAATGGAGAACTGACATCTGATGATGGTGAAAATCCACCCCCACCCCCCCCCATGCTGGCCAGTGGGAATAAATCAGTGGGACAGGAATCAGATTTTCTGGGTCCTGGCTTCAACTGTTGCTGTACTATACGTGTCCTTAATCATACATCAGGCTGCAAAACTCTTCTATTGTTACTTCATACAACTTTAATTTTAATTTAACTTATTTATTTATTCTTTATCCATGTATGTATTTGTGTGTGTATGTGTGTGAGCCAGTATTGGGGCCTGGCCCTTAACTTTTTAACTAAAGGCTGATGCTCTGTCATTTAAGCCACAGCTTCACTTCTGACTTTTGGTGATTAACTACAGCTAAGAGAATTGTCTGCCTGGGATAGCTACAAACTGAGATCCTCAGATCTCAGCTTCCAGAGTGTCTAGGATTACAAGTGTGAGCCAACAGTCCGAAAATTCATACAGACTCTTACACAGTATTTTTACACTAAGAACAATAGCAACCAATGACCAAACTGAAGTCAAATCCTAGCTCTCACAGCACCTCGCTAAGGTTTTTCACAGGATCCTATCAGAAGAGCTACTTTATCAAGCCAGAAATACCATTCCCCAAAAGAGAGCACTTCAGATTTGACCCTGCCAAGCCGCTGCACATTAGGAGGCTGAGAGCTTCAAGGACAAGCAGTTTGCCGTGCTGAAGCTCACTGCCTGGTTCCTTGGGGTGTGTCAGTTCTGTTGGCTGTTCCTCCTGGGTGAGGCCATTGGTGAGAAATGCTTAGAGAAAGAGAAAGTCTGCCATTGTACCCAGAAAATTCCTAGAGAGACACACGCCTGCATAAAACCCCACACACCTCCCGCGAGGAACTCCAAACGTGTAAGCATCTCAAAGATAAAGTACACCCTATAGGACCACAGAAGTAACATCTCCCAAAATTACAGACCTCCCTCCACCACGGAAACTAGAGAGAGGGGAAGAGGGGTAAATAGGAGCTGCCTTATCCCTGTCACCCTGGCATTTCTTGCAATTTCATTGGCACTTCTGTGATATCTTGTCAATACACTCAATTCCATTTTTTTGGACAGTTAGTAGAGCTTGTCCTTTTGTTTACTGCTGGTGAATCTTTTAGACTTATCTGCCTGAGAACAATAAAGGTTATTAAGTCTGTACAAAATGCTGTTTAACCACAGGAGGCTTTGGTCCGGGGGAGGGGGGGTATGACTTCTGAACATCCCTATTCACTTTTCAGGCAAGCAGGTTGTTGTTCCCACTGGCTTTTAAAAGCATATGCATAGATGGACACTAGTGGCTCATACCTGTAATCTTCGCTATTCTCAGGAGGCTGAGAACAGAGGATTACAGTTGGAAGCCAGACCAGGGAAGGAAAGTCAGTTAGCCTCTTGTCTCCAATTAACTACCAAAAAGTTAGAAACGAAGCTGTGGTTCAAGTGATAGAGTACTAGCCTTGAGCAAAAAGGACTCAGGGACAGTGTCTAGGTCCTGAGTTCAAGCCCTGGGGCTGGCACGAAAACAAAACAAAATCATATTCAACACCTTATATTGTTCCAACACATAACTTTTCAATAGTGGCTAACCAATACAATGAGCAGTCTATAAAATCCCCTTCCTGTCTATATAAAACAGAGAGGGTATGGCATGGGAATGGTTCCTAAGACAAAGTCGGAAAGTGCACACCCACTAACCTCACGTTCACTTATCAAGCTGTGCCTTGGTGAGAGGAGTACTAAGTCTTGAACTCAGAGTCTTGGTGGATTTTGGCTTTGAACTGCCATCCAAAGATCTCTCAGTCTCCTGAGTAGCTAGGATTACAGGCATGAGCCAACAAGGTCCTGCTTGAGCCACAGCGTATTTGTTCCTAGTACTTAACGGGAGGATGGAAGGAGACTTCACCAACAAAGTCTTTTATAAATCTAACCAGAAATATTTCCCTATAATTCTCAGCAGTAGTATGTTCATGAGGTCCACATCACTGACGAAAACTGACCTCCCACTATCTCTGATTAAGTGAAGGTCCACTCTCCAAATCATGACAGTTGATCCTATGTCCTTACATTTAAATTCTGGTGAAAGCTCAAGAGGTCACTTCTGCTCTTATTTCCAAGTCTGGGCAGTGAGAGAGGCCATTGTTTTCCTCTCCTTCCTTTGCTTTCTTTCTATGCTTTAGAGGAGGCTCTAGATTGGTGTGTCCATGACTGGCAGCGCTACTTTCATGGTTGGAGTGGGAAAGCAGGCGACAATGGTTTCATGATTGATGGTGATTTCCAAAGACTGGAAGACCGTCACGCATCCTTGGGGAGCAGCAGTTGGCAGGGTGAAGGTGAAATTCTGGCTTCAAGAGATGAAAGCGGCGCAAGGGCTCGGCTCTGTTTCTCAGGCCAGTCTGTGTATAGCGGGCCAATAATTCAAATTTGCGCTGCTAAAGCTCTCTCAGCTCCTCTGCCCAGAAAGCTAAAGGAAATTTTAAATATTCATTAGCAACAGTGACTAATCCCTACCCATCCCAATCAACTGAGATTAGGATTTTTGCCAATTTAAAATCCCCTCTCTCTGTATCTCCGTCTCACTCTCTCTGCCTCTCTCTCTCTTTCTGAAGATAATCAGAATACCACTAACGTTGATCAGATGGAGGAATGAGACAATAAGTCCTAGTGAGGACTCAATAAATCATGATTTCTGAATACTCTGCGTGATCTGGGTCTGAACAGGGATGGCAGGGATTATTTTGTGTCAACAGACACAGCAGGCAGTTTCAGTCCAAATACTAACACTTAGTCTCTCTTTACACAATGGTTTTTAAAGCCCACTGGAACTTGTGTTTGTGAACTAAGTGAAGAATATTGGTTGTGGTTCAATAACAATCTGGCTTTTGTTCTTATAGGGTTAGGGAAGAATATCTTGGATGCCACACTACCAAAAGTCCTAACCTAGCACACTTAGCACAAGGTGATTGTGAATTATGCAGAAGGCAGGTCCATGATCACCAGGGAGATTCACTTGTATCTTCTCTCAGAGACAGACTCTACAGCATTGGAGGTTGCTGAACCTGAAGACTGGATCCTGCTGTGTATTTCCTAGGGGAACTACATATGCCCTCTAACATCAAGTGCAGCACGGAACTATTTGTGAGTGGCACTAGCTTCTGTCCAGCATCTGTTTAGCAGGTGTGCTGACTGGTCACCTCCACAAGTAGGGTACTACTTATATGTAAGAAAATGATCCTGAGAGCTTGTAAATTAAAAAAAAAAAAAAAAGCACTGATGGGCCAGCTTTCTGTAGATCCTCTGAGCCTGGCAGTCCAGTGCAGGGAGAAGACAAAGGGATGGGGTGGGGGCTAGCTCCGTAACTGGAACAGATTCCAGTGGCTCCAGGCAGTTAACTAGAGTGAAGGGGAGTCGGGCCCATGCACAGGAAGGACCCAAGTACATTCTGTGACAATACTTTGTTTTTCTGGGGAAGGTCTTGGTTTTGGTAGACAACTGCCCGAAAGGGTGACTCAGGCCTGGTGCTGAAGCCTTTTTTTTTTTTTTTGAGAAGTCAGAAATACAGTGGTTTTTTTTAGTCCAAATTTAAAATGTTGACTTAATTCATTTTTTAAAAAATTCTAGGAAAGCCAAACAAAATAGGCCTGTTGGCAGCTAGCTTGCAACCTCTACTTTATATTCTGCAGCTGCTGTCTGCTTTATATGTTGCTTGTCTAGGCCATTTACTTTTGCTGCATCAAGATAACGCTGGTGGTCCCCTAGTAACAGTCCAGGGAAACAAACACAGTCAGCTTTCCATAGCCACCAGTCAATCCTGCATCTTCAGATTCAACCTCTTGTGATGGGAACTATTAGGGAAAAAAAAAACTGTATAGAACGCGTACAGAGTTTTCTTCATCATTCCCTAAACAATACAACAGCTACACAATTTCCATAGCGTTAACATTGTATTAGGTCTTACAAGTAATGAAGACATGATTGAAAGTACATGGAAGAATGCTGGTAGATTATGTGCATCTGTAGATGTTGGCTTCTGAAGGGGGTTCTGGAACCAATGCCCTTTCAATCTTTAGAACAAATAGAGTAA